ACAACTATTATGTATCAATAAAAAAATTTGAGTACTTCATCAGTTTCTCAAGTCCCCCTCTTAATCCTTTAATATTCAAGTCATTTTTTTTAAGCACTAAGTCATGTTATCATCCTTACTTTTCTCTTGAGTTGTTAATAGGTTTAACTCTCTACCTATTTTTTATTTGTCAACTGAATCTCAACTGAAAGTTTGGGGTATTTCCCAGCCCTTTTCTTCTTGGTTGTCCCTCAAATCCAATTTTTGTCCCTAAGACCTAGTGAGACTGCCAAAATGTCTATTTTGCTTCTAAGGCTCTTAGCTGCTTTTTTCTTTTTTTTTTATTTAAGAGATGAGGTCTCACTCTGTCAACCAGGCTGGAGTCCAATGGTGCAATCATAGCTCACTGTAGCTCATGAGCTCAAGCCATCCTCCCACCTCAGCCTCATGAGTAGCCAGGACTATAGGCACGTAACACCACATCTGGCTAATCAAAACAATTTTTTAAAAAAATTTTGTAGAGACAGGGTCTCACTACATTGCCCAAGCTGGTCTTTAACTCTTGGCCTAAAGTGATCCTCCTACTTTGGCCTCCAAAAGCTCTGGAATTATAGGCATGAGTCACTGTGCCTGGACTTAGCAGCTACTTTCTGCTTGATTTCTCAGTGTCTCATCCTACCTTTGTGCTGCTCAGAAGTCAGTGATTGCTTTAAGGATAAACTGACTTTGAATCAGGCTCTTCTTAAAGTGTAGACAGTGTTTTCTCAGTCTCTGGGATCTAGGCTCTTGGTCTCCTAAATGTTTTGAGTGTTCATCCATGCCATCGAACACCAGGGGTTTTTCCCTCCAGATATTCCAGTTATTCTTTTAAGGTTAGTTTAATACCAGCTACTCCTTTGTAAATGGCTTGTGCTTTTTAGCCATACCACGACACTGATATGTCTCCCATTTATTAAGTACATCAGTCTTTTTTACTCTGAGATGATACCAATTTCTTCATAATAAAGAATGTGGTGGGTCCATATTGTAATAAGTACAGTTTTTTAAAAAAATGTAGTTTCTTCCAACAGATATTTTCAGATACTTTATATGGAAATGTTTAATTATTGCATGAAATTAGTTCTAAAGAAATGTTTAACATGGTTGACTGACCACAGGTTTTTCTTTCTTCTTTCCCAAAACCCTACTATAATGACAGTAAAGGAGGAAAAATAAAACAACTTATAAAAGTACATCGAGCGTGAAAACACAAGAATCTCTGAGATGACAAGAAAACACTCACAGCAAGTCTGTACTCAAAATGTGATTTTGGAACATTTCAAATTAACAGTGACTTCCATATAACATAAGCAAACGTTCTGCCCTCAATAATCATGCAAGCTACCAACTACTTTATGTTGACAGTAGATTTCTACAAGTCTACCATCCTACCCAGTTTTTCCACAATATAGCCATAATTTCAAATTCAAGAAAAACAACTTATTAAATGTATAGATAACTTGTTATGGGAGTAATATCTTTCTGTTAATTTTGAAAAACAAAGGAAAAAAAAAGAGTTCACCTAAGACCAGCCCTTAATAATAAACTAAATAATAAAGCAAAAGCCTACTGTCTACACCTATCTATCAGGCACATAGCTTCAACACCTAGGGAGCTTGAAAAGTGATTCACATCTAAACTCCTATAAGTGGCAAGTTTTAATAAAAAACAGTGTCAGAACCATAACACTGTGATAATATAGGTATTAGGAAAATATTTTCTGTATTCAAAACCTACAATTCTCAAAATGAAAGGAGGATTTACATGATCACTTGAGGAGGATAGCTGTAAGTAATCCACTAGCAAGCACTGAATAAGTGCTGAGACTGCAGTGGCAGGGTTCAGTAAAATGAATGTAAAACACAGGGTGTAATTTCACTGCAATTTAAGCTAGTTATTTAAAATACACGAGTGAATATAGATAGAATTTGGATATACAGGCAGCACAGTTAATAGCTATCAGGTAGGGATAGTTGAAAAGATGAGAGGTAGACTCTTCTATCTAGAAAAATCATAGGAAAAATTAACCACAATATAGTAGTAGACAATTTTCTATGAAAGTATTAGACAAATATTCTTTTGGCAAAGCGCAGAAAGCTGTATGAACTGTACTTCCTATTTGGGAAAAAGTAAATTTCATGTCAGATTTATCTATTATTATAATCATATATGCATTTCAAATGAATGGTTCAGTTATTCTTAGTTAAAAATAACAGAATCAATTATTAGGATGCACTGGCTAAGTAATTTGGAATTATTTCTGTTGGGTTTTCTTTCTTTTGTCCAATTACCCTAAACCTTAGGATTTCTGACATTTTCCTCTCCATCTTAACTATGCTTTGTTGTTCTTCATTTTTTCAGAGACAAGATCCTACTCTGTTACCCAGGCTGGAGTACAGGGGGGGCATGATCATAGCTCACTGCAGCCTCAAGCTCCTGGGCTCAAACAATCCTCCTGCCTCACTCTCCTATGTATCTACGACTAAGGGCACGTGCCACCATGCCCAGCTTATAATGTGAATAGGACTTCTGCTTCTAATCATGAAAGAGCATGGTCCAGAATTACCCTCCTACTATAAACACACAGA